TCACTGTTTTGTAAAAATAGTGGGTAAAATGTTTTATTTTGTTACTATTTTTTTAGTAATTGGCCAAATATTTCTAGAGGAAAAAAAATATATGTATTTTTTGAGACAGGGTCTTGGTATATTGCTCAGGCTGGTCTCGAACTTCCTGGGCTTAAGAGATTCTCCTGCCTCAGCCTTTCAAGTAGCTGGGACTGTGGGCTCGAGCCACCATGCCTGGCTGAAGAAAACATTTTTAATATGTTGGTCTAGCTATATATTTTGACTTTGTAGTTCTTTGAATGAGGAAAGTATGTTTTAGAAAAAACTTTTTCTTATTTTAGAAAAAACTATTTCTTATGTAATATATGTAAATTGTAGACTTCTGGAAAGTGTAGAATAGTGTTTAGAAGAAAACTGGAATCCCACTATCTCTAGTGCCTGCTCTTATTAAATTTCAACCTTTCCATTTAATCCATGAATCCCATTAGTTTCATTTTCTTAAGGCTTTGGTTTTGGAGTCATCTTCTTTCACCTGCATCATCACTTTCTGTCCATATGGATCATTCTCATTAACACAGAAACAGCACTCATATTAAAAGAGAAAATCGACAAACAAAAACCCACCGTGGCTCCACATTTTCTCTAATTGTCACCCCATTTCTCTGCTCCTGGTTATAGCTAAACTCAAAAAAGTTATTTGTTATTTATACTTTCTCATCTGACATTCTCTTCTCAACTTGTATTAGTCAGGCGTTTGTCCCTGATGTTATACTGAAACCACTTTTCTCAAGATCACCAGTGTACTACATCTTGCCAGAGCTCTTAACAGCATTTACTTAGTGAGAACTAGTTAAAACCTTTTGAAAACCTTTTACTCTAGGCTTCTGTGACACCTGCTACACCTGACTGGTTCCACTCCCTCACTGTTCCTTCTCAGTCTTCTTTGCTTCTTTCTCCTTTTCAGACCTCTAAGTATCGGCATGCTTAAGGGCTCAATCTTGTGGCCTTCCCTAACTTCCCTCTCTTTAAGAGATGTAGTCTAATCCCATAGCTTTAATTATCATCTTTGTGTATGTGACACCAAATTTATTTACGTCATCAGTCCAGGCTACTCCCTTTCATTTCATATACAGAACTATGTTCTTGTTGCTCTGAATTTGCCCTGTCCCAAGTAGAGCATTTCACTCAGTGATGCCATTTCCCCATTTCACTCAGGTGCCATTCTTGATTTCCTCTTGACTTTACTCTGTTTTTTAATTGTTTGTTACCTCGGCTTAAAGAGATTCCTTGGAAAATTAAAATACACTGTAATAATTCATAATAGCAAGAGATTTTAAGTAATAAAATATAAATTTAAAATTTAGAAAATAATCCTGAAAAGATCTATTTTGTATTTTTAAGTAATTTGTTTTTCCTTTTTCCTTATCTCTCTTTGTTTTCTTCCTGTTAGCCGGTTCTTCTTGATAGCAGTAGCATTCTTGCAGATCGTATTCTTCTCATGGACACATTCTTCCAGATTTTGATTTATCATGGTGAGGTAAGATTCCATAGCATTTAAAGCTATGCATGTAAACTCTTTTTACTTAGGGAAGTTTTTTTCTGTCTATTATGTGGCTAGTGATTTATATATGATAAACTTTGATTTCTGTTTTTATAAGGAACATATAAAATGTGATTCTTCCTACTATAGGTTTTTAGGCTTCAATTGTAATTGACCCACCTGTGGTTATTTTGTTCATTTGTCCACACACGATTGGACAAATGGATTTTGTATAAAGGCAAAGTGTTG